TTTCTCAGTACAACTTTGCAATACACTTAATTTCCACAGTCACTTTAACTTAAACACACGCTATAACTCCCAACGATTCATGCACTTTACTTACCGTCACTACCGCGCTTGACTCAATTGTCCGTGTCTATCTCTGCCTGTCTGCAATTATCTATCCCGTCACTTTTTGCCGGTCTTATATATACAAAAATAGAGGGCGTCTCGCAAACACTAGAGTTGCTAAGAACAGTTCCTTCTATAAACTCATGACGTGTTACCAGAGTCACGTGACTTCCGTTGTCGTAACAGTATTTTCTTACCAGCAACAGGATTAGTGTGATTCATTTACTAAAACGCTAATGCTGGTATATCCTAAACAATAAATAATAATAAGGTCCACACATCAAAAAGTAACGAGATGCCAGTTCACGAAGCAAAAGCTATATTCCACTCAATAACGGAAAATCGCATACAAAAATACATTTTACAAAATTGTCTATTATTATTTAAAAAAAAAAGAAAGATTCGGTGCCATCATCAAGGTCCTATCCTAAACAATAACGCAAATATATGAAAATCCTTAATAAAAACATTAAATATAGCACCAAAGCCCAGGATACTTCTTTAAAATAGCCCAAAAAGCAGTTATCCGTAACTCCCGAAAATTTCCCAAATAGCCCAATCCCGCGGGAAAAACGCGAACATGGTAGCACTGGATAACGTACAACATTCAAATTATATCGACACCCAAGTAAATAATGCTATTTAACTATCTGTTTCTGTATATATATAGCTGAATTACCCGTTCTCTGCACAGATGTCCAAATTACTTGAAATAAGTATTTAAAAACACAATGAAATTACTTTTAAAATATTTCTTTAAAAATTCAATTTTCTTAACATCTTAATTTTTATCGAAACCTTTGATTTTTCAAAACCAAAATTACACAATCTAAATTAAAGCTTCTTGATATACCCCATTGGCTATTGTTCCTTCTTCTGCCAAGATAAACAGGTTTGATGAGATCCAACCCTTGAGCATCTTACATAGAACTGACCATGTGAAAGGCAAGGCTGCTCTAGGGGTAATCCAGCAAAATTTAAAGTTTGACCTTGCGCCTTATTAATTAACATTGCAAAACAGATTGTAACTGGGAATTGGAGCCTTTTAAATTCAAAGGGGTAAATACTTAGTAGCAAAGGAATTCTTGGAATGACAACATATTCACCTTTGGCATGACCAGTTGTTGCTTCAATAACATGTGGCAATAAAGTGTTAACAACTAAACTTGTGCCATTACATAATTTTGGAGGATCAAAATTTCTCAACAACGTTATTGGTGAACCAACCTTTAATTTCAGAATGTGACCTGACATCCCAGGTGGTTCAAGAGAATTTAGGAATTCAGTTGGATAATTTACAGCATCAACTGGAACTAGAACACTGACGATTCAGCTGTAGGTGAATTCCTGTCTGGGAACCTTTTCCAACAATTGATAATTCATGTCATGAACACTATCATTTCTAGGTGCAAGAATTGCTCTTTTACACTACCATTTATGCTTTTTATTAAATATTAGAGAACAACTTTTCTTTTAGCTCTTCTGCATCCTTAATTAAGTTACCACATTTTTCTGGAATAGTAATGTAGTTGTTTGATTGATTGGAAACTTTCCAACACTAACTGATATTAAAACTTACAAAAAGGACATTTAAGTATATTAAAGATAAGTAAAATGTTAAAATCAGGATAGGGCATTTAAAGCAATGTTTATTAAGATTTTTTTGTATATTATCACATAGGACCCTGCAGTTACCCGGGTAACAAATCAAACTGACAAGAATCGGTCAGGTTTGGATGACTACAACCCATTTACTAGAGAAAACAAAAATATACCACAAATTAACATATACATCACGTGCTCAACATAAGCAACATTGTTGGCCTAATAACAATATCGTGATAGTTTTGTTGCTAAGTGACGATATATAGTGTTGAGTATTACCAAAAGGGTGCGTGACACTTTACACTTTGATCATAGCCAAATGGCCGAGAAGCGATATCGTGACACGAAGATAGAAATTTGAATTCAAAGCCAAAAAAGTAGTTTTTGTGGGAATTTTGTTCCTTCTTGTTACTTCTGGGGAACGTGGGAGTCACCATTCCAAGTTTGGTGGTGATTGATCAAATACTGTGCGAGGAGTTAGGGGACAGACAAAATATACACTTTCGCTTTTATATATATATATAGATAACTTACACAAATATAACGATGTCCTGATATTTTATTTTTGTTAGGTTTTACTTATTTGATTCTTAATACTTCCAAAAATTTTCTTTTGCTTGGGTTTTTGTCTATATGCAATATTTTTTATTTTTTTAAAGTTATTTTGTGTTGTCTTTTTAATCATTTTGGAAACTATTCAAGATGGTTTTCTCCACCAATTGGTCAAGGAACCTATTAGAAATAATGCTATTGTTGCGTCATCGAGTCACATGACTACTGTGACGCAACGTTTCTAGAACTATCATGTACTTTGGCGAATGCTCTAGTGTTTGCTAGATGGGGTAGGCGGGTATATATATAAGAGGGGAAAACGTGACGCGGGAGATTGTTGTAATGTGTGTATTGACAGTGAGTAATTGAACTGCAGTCACGGGGTATTGTTGAAGTTAACGTTCGTTCGTTATAGTATTTGTTTTAGCGCGAGTATTGAGATTAAGTGTATCGCAGAGTTATATTCGGAAAGAATAAACCAGTTTTATTAAGTAAAGACTTGTGTCGCTTAAGTTTCTAAGTTTCGTCGGAACGAAGTTACGGAAAATCAATTAACAAACGGAGACGTAACACTATTTTTACGCTTCCGTTCGTTAGTTAATTTTCCGTAAAAATTATTTCCGAAGAAACTTTACTGATACAAGTCCTTTCTTGAATAAAACTGGTTTATTCTTTCTGAATACAACTTTGCGATACACTTAATTTCTACAGTCGCGCTATAACAAACGCTGTAATTCACAACCAACGTCTCACGTGCTCAACTCAACTGTCAATTACACATTACA